AATACCAATAAATTACATAAGTGTTTTGTAATGTACGCTGCGTTACAAGAATTCTGAAAGGAATTACCTATTATGTTTTTATTTTATTATAATAGAATAAAAGGCTGTTGTACTTATATTTTACTTACGTTTAGGTACCTAACATAAATTAAAAAACTGAAGTAAGAAACAATAAAAACATACAGTCAAATAAATGTAGTTATGTGAGACAGTTTTACAAAAGAAATGAAGATTAAAATGAGAATAAAAATTCAAATCACTATCACTATTCCATACCAGTCTGGACTGAAAAAATTCAGGATTTACTAAAAGAGTAACTTTTCTAAAATTTAACTACGAAACTCTTAAAAGCTACGAAAAGTAAAGTAAAAGTTGTTGGAGAAAAGAAATCGCCCACTAGGTTCTCACGATTACTTTATTCTAGGAAATAAATAGAACGTGAATTGCACGGTCTCTTTAATTGAAAATAATCAACTACTTTTTCCCGATCCTTCGAATAAAAAAATTCAACAAGTACTTATGATATCTATCTTACACAAGAATAATATCAACTTAATGAGGCTTATTGTTAGTGGTCAAAAAATTTAATGAAAAGTTACATGACCACCAAAATATTAGAGAAGCGGGTACAGAACAAAAACAAAATAACAAAGAAATTAACAACAGGGATCGAGGCAATCAATATAATTTTTTTTTTAATTTCTCTAGTATTATAATTTTTTAAATATTCATATAAAACATATTATAGAGTATTGGCAGTTTCTTCTACTGTAATCTCTTAATTTTTCTTTTACCTGATTAGGTTTTTAGTAAACACATTTGGTTAGTTTTCAAAGCTATAAAACAGACCAGAACAACAACGATATGATGATGTTTTACACACTTTTGTCTGCAGAAAGAGTCAATAAACCTGGTTTGTAAGTAAAATAAACGGTACTTTTTAATAAAAGAAACAATAATAAGCAAGCTAATAAGATGGGCTACTTCTTCAGTAACTGAATATACCGTAGTGTTGACAGTCAGTTTTCATCTGTAACGATAGAACAGATTTATATCTATGTCAGGAAATAATTACGTTTCAAGGAAAAAAAATTGAATTCTAATTACTTTTTTATTGACAAAATAAGCACCCTATTATACACATATAAGTAAGAGTGTCGTACAATTAATCTATTTAATCTTGTTATAAACAAAAACTAACATACAAAAATTATAGCAATGCGTACCTATCAGAAACGTCCGGTAGCATACATGTAACAATTATTTGATTTAGTGGGTAAAGTATAAAAGTTAAATTAACAATTTCTAGGTAGGTCATTGTTTATTATTTAACAAAGGGTGAAGGAAATCATACTGGAAGGTGAAAATTAAAAAATTAATGTGAAAATACAAATTACGTTGTACAATTTCTAAAAGAAAAGAGATATCGTCACGGTCAGATCAAAATATCGGCCCGATTTATACTATCGGCCAAGTCAGTCAAATAACGGGTACGTTTTCGTTAGAGATAAATACCGCGGTTAATTGACTGAACCATGACTTAACTATAAAATGTGTGCTATAATATTTTATTTGACCGACCGTCACTCGATCGATTATATAAATCGAACTTGAAGTAAGTATTAAGGCTCGATTCATACTGTCGGTTAAGTCACGGTCAGATCAAAATATCAGTCCGATTTATACTATCGGTCAAGTCACAGTTAAGTCACGGCACGGGTATCGTTAGAGATAAATACCGTTGTTAATTTTCTAGACCATGACTTGACTATCAAATGTGTGCCGTAACTTGACCGATGTTATAAATCGGGCTTAACGTGAGCATTAAGGCCCGATTATCGTTAATGTCGGTTAAGTCATAGTCAGATCAAAATATCAGCCCGATTTATACTATCGGTCAAGTGACGGTTCGGTTATAGTTAAGTAACAAATTAACTTCCTACGTCCATAGGGGTGGGGGGCGTGAATGCCTTAACACCCTCCCAGTGGTTACGCCACTGTACGATATTTGCAATGTATCTGTTACTGACTGCTCAATGCTGCTCAGGTTGCTGATAACATTGAGACCTGACGCGAGTTCAGGTAGCAATACAATACCTGTAATAATAGTAATGCAAACAATGGTAATATTATTAAGAGGAGAAAAATTCTACTCCATCAACGCTTGCGCCCAATGACTGAACAACAATCGACAGTTGTTGTTCAGAAGAAGCGAAATGCAGATGGTCGTTACTGCTTCAAGTTCGGTCTCGGTTCCCCGTGTTCTTTTTATCTTAAATTCGTGGGACGTGTTTTAGGTTAAAGCAGGTATAATAGGTACATAATAATACCCTTTTGGACACTTTCACTCGGGTACGTCATTATGCAGTCATCTAATGCAGATAACAAAATAGAACACTGATACCGTAGAAACGATAAGATAAAAGCGCCGTACCATTCTGAATACAAAAAAAATGCCAACGCAATTTTTTGGTTCGTGTTATTTTTAATTATTTAAATAAAAACAATGAGTAAAGTACCGACTGAGTGCTTATATACAATTATAGATTAATGTGATTCGTGTTTTTAAAACTGTGATTTATGCGAGATGGAGCCGGAAGACAACATATCGGTTAGGGTGGCTGTAAGGTAAGGAAAATACAAATTTGCAAAATTTATCCACAGTCAGGTACTGCAAAAAAAGAATGGTTCAAATTATCTATTAGTTATAGTTACATCGAAACTAGGTCAAATTATAATCATTTAATTAAATTAATAAGCCGCATTACTTAATTTATTCTAAATATATCCTATTTCGAAATTATTTTGAATTATCTTAAATAAACATGTATATGTATTTCAAAATCAAACAAACTTTTACTACGTTGCTTCCTTAAGTAACAATTTTTTAATAGGTAATGACAATGAGGGAAAAATTTATATTTTTAGAAATTGATGTATATTTAATTTGTCTATGTCATATCGCCTGCGGCAGTGTCGTTTTAGGAAATGAATGAAAAATCTATCTTATTTAAACAAACCAGTTTTGAAATTATGTTCATACATATGTATGCATGAGTGTGTTTTTAAACATTAAAAGAGAAGCACTTTGTCTTGTTATTCCTTTTATAAAAATCGAGTATTTTGCTTGAACATAAAATTATTAAACTTTTTGTATTCCTTACATGGATGACATACCTATTGTAAGTACACATTATACAAACAACAAACATCCGAAATAGAACGAAGAAAATTAGCACCTTGACTTGTCAATGAGGGACAAATATTCAAATGGTTACAAAAAGCAAAAGCAACTTCACTTCGACGTTTTATTAGGTATACATTTTCTTTTTAGTTAAAAAAATATCTACTATATTTTGCCAGCTATATTTCCCAAAACAGGTTTTAAAATTCGTTGTGCCTAGGTGTCATCTTTTAAATACCAATAAATTACATAAGTGTTTTGTAATGTACGCTGCGTTACAAGAATTCTGAAAGGAATTACCTATTATGTTTTTATTTTATTATAATAGAATAAAAGGCTGTTGTACTTATATTTTACTTACGTTTAGGTACCTAACATAAATTAAAAAACTGAAGTAAGAAACAATAAAAACATACAGTCAAATAAATGTAGTTATGTGAGACAGTTTTACAAAAGAAATGAAGATTAAAATGAGAATAAAAATTCAAATCACTATCACTATTCCATACCAGTCTGGACTGAAAAAATTCAGGATTTACTAAAAGAGTAACTTTTCTAAAATTTAACTACGAAACTCTTAAAAGCTACGAAAAGTAAAGTAAAAGTTGTTGGAGAAAAGAAATCGCCCACTAGGTTCTCACGATTACTTTATTCTAGGAAATAAATAGAACGTGAATTGCACGGTCTCTTTAATTGAAAATAATCAACTACTTTTTCCCGATCCTTCGAATAAAAAAATTCAACAAGTACTTATGATATCTATCTTACACAAGAATAATATCAACTTAATGAGGCTTATTGTTAGTGGTCAAAAAATTTAATGAAAAGTTACATGACCACCAAAATATTAGAGAAGCGGGTACAGAACAAAAACAAAATAACAAAGAAATTAACAACAGGGATCGAGGCAATCAATATAATTTTTTTTTTAATTTCTCTAGTATTATAATTTTTTAAATATTCATATAAAACATATTATAGAGTATTGGCAGTTTCTTCTACTGTAATCTCTTAATTTTTCTTTTACCTGATTAGGTTTTTAGTAAACACATTTGGTTAGTTTTCAAAGCTATAAAACAGACCAGAACAACAACGATATGATGATGTTTTACACACTTTTGTCTGCAGAAAGAGTCAATAAACCTGGTTTGTAAGTAAAATAAACGGTACTTTTTAATAAAAGAAACAATAATAAGCAAGCTAATAAGATGGGCTACTTCTTCAGTAACTGAATATACCGTAGTGTTGACAGTCAGTTTTCATCTGTAACGATAGAACAGATTTATATCTATGTCAGGAAATAATTACGTTTCAAGGAAAAAAATTGAATTCTAATTACTTTTTTATTGACAAAATAAGCACCCTATTATACACATATAAGTAAGAGTGTCATTGTCCACTCTAAAATTTACTGCAATCAGAAAATCAATGAGCCATAAAAGGATTGTGTTTAAGACAAATTGAAGGAAATAAAGGGGAAGATTAATAATACGATTTTTTCTATCCAAAGAATAGATTCTAAGATGTAGATGAGACGTTTCAGTCATTAATATTTGTGACCCTTTTCAATCAACTTTGAAAAAATAAATTTAGTCTCTGTAATAGAAAATTATATTTTACTTAAAATTAAAACGGCGAAATAAACAAACATTCGTGATTGAAACGCATATGTATATTATTTGAAAGAAAAAATCGTATTATTCATCTTCCCCTTAATTTAACTTCCATTGTTAATTCAAAAATTTACAAATCAAGGAAACAAAGTTAACAAAAAACAATAAAAATTTGTTATTTTAAATGGAGAGTGAACTTCAGTTTGATATTTGTTATTTAAAATAGATAAACATATTTATTATTTAAAATAGGTATACGTAAATATATAAAACGAATATGCTTTTACAGAAATTCTAAACAATATCGAAATAGGTACTCATACACTATGTTATTACCCTCTAATAAGATATATAATTTTTACGGTCAATTTTTAATTTTTCGTAGCTATTAAAAAAAAAACATTACAACTATCAACTTTTAACTGTTGTTACAGTCATTGTTTATTTGTCATACTTCTGAGACCATCTGCAGAGCAAATATTTGAAACATGCCTTGTTCATCTTTTTGGTTTTTGCATGTTTATGACCGAGTTATATTTAGTGGCATTATTTTCTACAACATGAATATTGGGGTTACGAATAATTTCTTACTTTAACTTTCGGCTATTACATTTTCTTGTTCATTTCATTTTGGATTAATTTTTTAAAATTATTAAATGAGATGTATTTTTAATCATGACATAATAGATACACTCTGTACAATTTTTTTGACACCGAAATTCATTCTGTAAATCCAATAGCTTTTTTGAATTAATTTGAAACATAAAAAATGGCATTAATATCTATTACATCACCGCTTGAATTGTAAGTAAAGAGACAGCAGTAAAAGGAAAAACCTTTAAACACAACTAGTTTGAGTGTGTGTTAATGATAATTTATACAAAAAATTTACACATTAACGATAAGTGTAGATTTTAGACTTTTAGTTTGCTTAATTAATATCTAATGCTTTTTTTGTAATGAAACAATTGTAGATAAATAGACAATACCTACTTATTAGGTGCATGAGTATTTCTAAACTTAAACCCATATATGATTATTTTGTGGGTATTCAAACACTGTAATAAGTATGGGCCTATAATATAAAACGTTTCTTTTGTTTTTAAGTCGGCTGTACATAAGCCAACTTTGAAACTAATTGTTTCCGCTATAACGTGGTCCTTAATTTAGCTTTCGTTTCAGAATCTAATAATATAAGACAAAATTAGCTCCAAAGGCACTAATGATCCTTGAAGCTCTTTTTTTTTCATGTACCTATGTAGGTACTACATGTCAAACGCCAGTAGACATTTCATTATTGACAGATATTTCGTAGGGTAATTATAAAAAACAAGAGGAATAATTAAAAAGAAATGAAACATATTTATAAAAAAATCCTGTTGCTATCCCTGTTAGTTCTTTTTGTCTACATTTTCGAGATAAGTATTAATATAACCAATTTTTTTTAAGTGATTACTATTTATATTTTTAAATACATCAATTACATATATAGGGCAAAAAATTGAATTTGTTGATACGAAAATATCTAAAAATAAATGTGTGTTTTTCTATGAATGACTGTTAGGCGTATTTTGTAATGTAAATTTTAAAAAATTAATTTTGTGTTTCTTAAATTAAATTAAATTTGCTTTATTCCAGAATTAGACCCCAAATACCTAGGGAAATTATTGAAATGTGCAATGTTTGCACCAGTGTTACCCCTGGAGAACCCCAAATATTTCTGGGATCTGATAGAGCATTTACATATGATTATGTTTTTGACATGGAAGATTCTCAAGAAACAGTTTACAACACCTGCGTTGCATCTCTAGTGGAATCTGCTTTGGAGGGGTAAAAATTTAAAAAATTAGTATTTTATTGATATGGGTTGGTAAAATTATAAACGAATGTAAACACTTACAGTTAAAAACTGAAACAGTTTCTCAATTACCAATCTTTGTTTTATTTATGGTAATTGATTTCGATTTTTTGAATACGTATTCGTAATTTTGTATAAAGAAGCATCTATTTTAATTTTGTCACGTCTCTAAAAAATCTACCCCTAATCAGCTGTGTATTAATGTTAAATTTCACAATGGAGATATTTTGTTTTAAGAACAGAACATTCAAGTGTATATGTATGATTTATGACACGAGAAAGATTATTAAGAATAAATTATAATACATCCAGGATTTTTACGAAAATACTTTCTGTGAAGATCTTTAAAATTTAGTTTACGTAGCATAACAAAGGTCATGGTTAATGTGTCTTCAGTGACTGTTTGTTAAATTAGCAATTAGAGTTCAACAGAAAACAAAATGAGAAAATTTATCCAAATTATAGTTTCGATTTAAAAAGTAATGTTAATTACTGTCTTACCTATTAAAACTTTTATGTACACTGGTAGAAAAATCTTGTAAAAATTACCATGCTGTCTCAATCTGGGTGCCTCAACTGACAATGGAAAAATTTCTATGCTTTTTAGTAAAAATTATGAGGTTCTCTTACAAAAATTATTGAACTAATATTGAATTTTGTCAATGCATGTCTTGCGCCAATTTTGTAGTGACGAGCATGGTAATTTTCCTAAGAATTTTCTCTCCGTGTAAAATTTATTTTTGAAGTCAGTTTAAAAAGAACAATTTATTATTAGAAAAATAAGTAAAATTAAGAAGCAATATAAAGTCACGACATCACATTTGAAGTTTTAAGTAATATCGTGTAAAATTTTATTTGAAGAAGACTAAGAATGAAAACTTAAAAATCAATTATAAACATAAATAAGAACCTTTTTTGCGTAACTCATGTTTGCTGTTTGTCCTATTATTGTAGCAAACAAGCTATAAAAAGTGAGTTGTTGTAACCTCTGTTTTCCACCCACATGGACATTTACCAACCTCTTTTGCATACCCTCGTTCTGATGTAGCTTTTCATTAATTTATTCGTAATATTTGCTATTTGATTTTAAATTAGGTATAATGCAACAGTATTAGCATATGGACAAACAGGGTCAGGTAAAACGTATACCATGGGTACAGGTTTCGATATCGACTTAAATGCTAGTCAGGTGGGAATTATCCCGAGGGCAGTCGAACATCTCTTTCATGGGATTGATTCGAAAATTAAAACAGCCAGAGAAAATGGTATGGTTGCACCGGAGTTTCAAATTATGGTTCAGTTTATGGAATTATATAATGAAGAGGTCATTGACCTTTTTAATCCAATATTTAATAAGGTAATGAACAGGAATTAACATTAGCATACGATAAAAATAATTTGTTAATAAGATAATATATACAGTGTGGCTCATTAAGGACGGCGCTCACACGGCCATTATGTAAGTGATCGAGCTACCATGTCTCAATATCACTAAAATTCAATAATATACACATGTGCATCTGTAAATTCTGAATTTAAACTTCATATTCTTTTTTGAATAATTGTTGACTAGTTAACCATCTTAAATTCCAGTTTGAAAAAATTAAATGACGTAATTTTCCGGAAAATTTTCAAAAGCATCTAGACACTAATCATTGAGTTAAGAGGGCTTGAAACTTGAAAAGCCGAAATTAAATGCAACATTTGTAATTTCACTAATTACTGAGAGTCTTTTGTTTCTATTGTAGGAAAAACTGTATAAAATTCATGAAGATCCGTTCACGGGGATACAAGTTAAAGGGATAATGTTAAAGACTGTAATGTCTGCGGAAGCGACGTTACAGTGCCTCCGAATGGGGGCTCTATCTCGAACAACAGCTAGTACCCAAATGAACACACATTCTAGTCGTTCTCACGCAATTTTTACAGTCCATGTAAAACAGCAACGCTTAGTACCTTCTGATGATGGTAGTAATGAAGTAGAAACGTTGACATCGAAGTTCCATTTCGTAGATTTAGCTGGTTCCGAACGATTAAAAAGAACAGGAGCAACAGGAAACCGAGCCAAGGAAGGTATTTCCATTAACTGTGGCTTATTAGCTTTAGGAAATGTAATATCTGCTTTGGGTGACCCAAGCAGAAAAGCCCTCCACATACCTTACAGGGATTCCAAATTAACCCGATTACTCCAGGATAGCTTAGGAGGTAATAGTAAAACTGTTATGATTGCTTGTATAAGTCCTAGCGACAGGGACTTTATGGAAACTTTAAATACGTTAAAATATGCTAATAGGGCTAGAAATATTAAAAATAAAGTATTAATTAATCAGAGCAAAAGCTCCAGAACTATCGCACAACTAAGACAACAAATTGCCCAACTTCAATTGGAACTTATGGAATATAAGCAAGGTAAACGCATTATCGGACAAGATGGAAACGAAATAGTTAACGATATGTTCTACGAAAACAATATGCTACAAAATGAGCTAAACAATCTAAGAACTCGAGTAAAGGCTATGCAAGAAACTGTAGAAAATCTCTCCGCTAGAAATGCAGCATTATTAACTGAGAAGGCAGCGAAAAATTGGATAGGAACTGGAACTGACAGTCAAGTAGCTGACATGATTCAAGGCTACTTACAAGAAATTGAAGAACTGCAAGCAAAACTCATGGAGTCCAACAGCACTTGCGAATTGTTACGAAAACAACTTGCCAAATATCAATCCACAAGTATGTACAACAAATTGAGCATGGATATGTCACTTGGAGATATCTCATTAGTGCTCGAAGAAGCTAAAAAAGAACTTAAACTTCAGAAAGAGTCTTTGATAAAAAGCAAAAGTCACAGTATGTCGGAAGTGGATTCCGACAGCAGTACCGATGTAGATTTTGAAAGTGATAACGAATCGAAAGACATTGACGCCGATTTAAAACAAGAATTACTTAATATAACAACTGATATTGACATGAAGCAAAAACTTATTGACGAATTGGAACTCTCTCAGCGTCGCATGCAAACTATGAAACAACACTACGAGGAAAAGCTGTTACAACTTCAGTCTAGAATTAAAAGTACACAAGAAGAAAGAGATAAAATGCTACAGTCCTATTCAGTAAAATCTGATAATGACGACAACGTCAAAAAAGTGAAAGAAGAATACAGCAGAAAAATATCAGAAATGCAAAAAGAGCTTAAAAAATTGCAAGCAGCGCAGAAAGAACATGCGCGATTGTTGAGGAATCAAAATGAACAGAAAAACAAACTGCAATTGTTAAAAAACGAACTCACCGATATGAAAAGGGCTAAAGTTAAACTTATTAATAAAATGAAAGAAGAATCTCAGAGACATAAGGAGGCAGAAAGAAACCAAATAAGAGAAATTGCTCAGTTAAGAAAGGAGTCTAGAAAAAAGGCCAGTCTTCTTAGAGCTATGGAAGCAGAATGTAAAATAAAGGTAATGAATTTTAAAAGCATCCTCTTCAAATATTAACTTCTTTTTAATTAGGAACAAGTTTTGAAACGTAAGCAAGAGGAAGTATCCCTCTTAAGAAAGAATCAGATGCGAGGCCTTAGTGCTAAAGCAGCAGGTAGAATAAAAAATGAATTTTCGGAAAAAGCAGTAAAACGTAAATGGTCGCAAATTGAAAAAGCAATAAACAATATTGCAATGAACAGAAGTGGCTTAGTGCAACAAGAAGTTCGCATGGAACATTTCTTAGAAAAACGGGAAGCCCTGGGTAAGTTGCTTCACCTGGGGAAGTGATGTAGTATACTAAGTTTCATAAAATAATATTTAAATTTTCAGGTCGTGAGCTGGAGATTCTGCATCATCGCAGAAAGCAAGCACTTGCTAAAAGCCAGGACACAACACAGCTAGAAAGCCTTATAGAAGACGTGGAAGAAAATATAAAATACGTTCAGGAAACTATAGCAGAAGCGCAACAAAATGTAATGGAAATCGAAGAAACACAAGACGAAAGCGAAGAGAACAATATACAAAAAATTATAACATCTCTACAAGATGTAAACGAAGCTAAATATCTAATTCAGAAACTTTACGGTATGACTCTTAATCACAGTCACTTGGTAGCTCAAAGAGAGGCGAAACTGAAGGAAAACGAAGCAACTCTAGAAGAGGTGAGTTGCAAGTGACTATAAAGAACTTTGTTTGTGTAAGAGCATAATATCATATTATTTTCTCATTAGCTTAAACAAGAAAACGCTGTTAAGGGTCAACTGCTAGATCATATTCTTCACACTGAGTATCCAGTATTTAATAGAGAAATTGCCCCTCTCAGTACTTCCAGTAATACTAATGAAACAAGTTCAAACAATACTAGCAGATCTACGTCACCCATACCGTAAGTAAACAGTCAGTCTGATAAAAAAAGTGCATGTATGACACCCAAGTCTCACTATAAGAATTCGTTTAATAAATTTAATTTTTGTTATTAGTTTAGCTGTTCCAGAAAATAAGTCAAAAATCAGAAAGAGAACAGCAGACCCTTCGGAGCTACTTTTTGGATTGAAATCAGAAACAAATATTATGACCAAGTCAGAGAACGGTAACCATTTACAGCTAGAGCAGCCTTTAAAGCGGATACCGAGTTCTCCGGGGATTTTAAAGTGAGTATTCACAAATTAATATTTACATGATAAAAAGGAAAAAAGGATGTCATTTTAGGGACGAGCGATTATGAAAGTTCGTGACCTGCAACCCACGAGGGAAATACAAAAGCAATATCCCAGTTTACCTCCGGAGACATTCAAGCAAAGCAATGGATTTATTCAGAAACCCCTTTCCTCTTTTAACTTACACAAAGAGGTTGTCCTAATAATAATAATAGCCACACTGTTTCTTTTCATTTTCTGGTGGATTAAAGGTCTGGGCTTCTTGATAGTATATGACAATACCAGTTAAATTATACATCGACAGTTGTTTATAAATAACGGGAGGAATGTTTAAACAAAAAGTCAATCTCGTCAGTCATTAAATTAGGAGGGCATGGAAGGTGAGATCAGGAATAGACAAGTCTCGTATGTACATTCTAACATCTAACACGTTAAGGTGCTACTTGTTGCGAATTTTGCAGCTAATGTAAAACATAAAATTAATATCCAGTCTTGCTTATGTACCTTATAGTTCAGTGATAACGATTTTACAAAACATACTTAAATTCCTCAAATAAGAACGGTGTAAAATACATTAAGAAATTTTTTCTTTTAGCAGCAGTTAAAAACTATTAATTTAATTTCTAACCGACTACAGATTACATCAAGTTAATACGGAAAAATGCTCCTGCTATCACGCCCTCGCCGGGAATCGAGCTCAGGTCCTTGGTTTAACGCTCCAATGCTCTGAACACTAAGCTACTGCTGTCGCTCTCGTTGCCTATTGGTTAGAGTATTGATGCGTTAAACGAAGAACCCGGGTGAGGTCGTGACAACAATTTTTCCTCATTTACTGGAGGAGAAATTAAATTAATTTTACATTAATATTTAGAAATTATTGTAAAATGTGTATCTTGCAATTTGAAAATTTTCAAATGCCTATAAACATCTACTTGTATCTATACAACTTAGGTCTTTGATTATCAAAGCTTCATTTAGATAAAACTATTTGCGTAAGTTAAAAAATTATAAAACTTACAAACCGACACAAAATAATAGGTGGAATAGAAGATATGAAGTTACGTATTTTAAGTAGGTATACAGCTAAAAATGTGAATTATTGAGGCCTTTAAATTATTAACCCACATGTATTACGCATTAGCAAAATTTAAACTACTTGTTCACGACATAGCGACCGTGGATAGCAGCGTAGAGGCTAGTTTATTCAACTAATAAAATTACCTATTTTATATATGTAGGTTGCAAAATTTGTATCAACAAATATTATAACACATTTATGTATTAAGCCGATTTAAGTTTATAGCGTATATATAAAGCCAGTATTTTATACTACAGTAGTCAAACCTAAAAGGGTCGAGCGCAGAAATAGGTAGGTAGTGTGCCACCACATCTTTCTTTCTCTGAAGTTTTTGTGTTTATAAATAACGAAAGAAATGTATAGAGATAGAAAGGAAAGCAAATCAAGCCACGCTAGAGAGAGAAAGGATGTAGTGGCACACACAGCCTATCCTTATTTGTGTTAGATCATGCTGCTGTAGTTTCAGATGCTGCCTTCATGTATATACTCTAAAGTCTTAATAGTTTCCATTTTCATCCTTAGCATCTTTATATTTCATTTAAATAATTTTGTTCATTGAAGTGTTTTCATCTATTTATTTAATTTATTTTTGCTCTATTTTTAATTTATTGGATCAGTTTTTATTTGGTGAAAGTTCATTATGAATAGAAGGAACAAGTAAATGTTAATTAACATCTTACTGAATTTTATTTAAACTGCGACAATTGTAACATTTCCAATAATATTGTAAACTTGAAAAAGAAGTGTAGAAGAAGAAACAAATGTTGCAGTTTAATAAAATACACTTGACAGTTTTATCATTTATTTATCGCTTGTGTTTATTATAGTAATTCTGTATCAAATTTCTGAAGACTGTTATTCTATTTTGATCATTCCAATTATTCAAATTAAGAGAAAAAAAAACTTAATATGATACACAGTATGTGTTAGGTATCTGGTGGTTATTCAGTAAATAATAAGTGTATTTTTTAAAAAATGTACTTAATAGAAACTTGTGATTAGAAGAGACTGCATGATTAATCTTGTTAGAAGTTACATATTTTAATTTATTTAAAAGCAAACTGCAAAATTATTGACCAACTCAACGATAAATTTATGCATTTAATGATGTTACATTTTCAGTATACTATATTATTACGTTCATTATTCTTGCCAGACGAGGTAGTTTTAATTAACTTCTTGTGGTTTTCATTCTTAATTTAGTGATGGTTTCCTATTTAATTAAAAATAATCGCAAAAGTATATATCTAACTAAATAAAGTTACCTGAATTCTTGTCGCATCTGATGTTTTGAAAATTTTATTTATTTTCTGGCATAATTTTAGCGTATATAAACCGTCATTACCATTTGTTTAACGCTTAGTGTCCACAACTAATATTATATTAAAAAATAAATTGACCGTTGTAACCATAACTTGCCAAACTAACGTATCTTTCGTTGTCAACGCTTAATTTTACTGCTTTTGTTTTACTTTTTTGCTCTTTTACTGTGATATTTAGTCTTTACTTGTTTATTTCATCAGGTAACACTTTATAAACTACACATTATCTTCGGCAAATATAAATTAATGTAGTACCACCATACAGAAAATATATGTTTCTGGTTTAGTCAACTGGTAGTTTTAAGAGTGCTCTAGTTTAAGTGGTTTCTCGTTGTTTTAAAATACATAAGTAATAGTTATCTTCCGATAAAATAATAAATATTTTTTATACATACAAATTTAATACGTACAGTTATTAGTCATTGTTTTAAATAAAAATCTGAAAAACAAATAAGTAATTAATTGAAAGCGGGAAAATTTTAGAGATCAATAGCTATTAAGCTCTTTGCAATACGTTTATTGAGTATTCCTTATTTTTATTATAAAAATGATTATTAAACAGTATAATTATCGGCAAATATAA